TTAAATACTTAAAATAACTGGTATGTGATATATGAGAATATTTGTGATTTCTGTTGGTGACAGAGTCGTGGTTCCTCCAATACTACTGAGACTTGTTGCTCACACTCATAATAGAAATAGATAAGTTGCAGTGAGGGGCCAGTTACATTAAAGATGTAATTTTGAGTGACATTAGCAAGATGGAAGAAGAGGTCGTCCTCAGCTTCGAACCCCCTCATGAAAAACTGACTAGCAACTATCCATATTCAAGACACCTTCATGAAAATCTCAGAACCCAGGGGTGATACTGAAGTACCCCCTTGAACACACAGAAAGGAAAGGACCACATTAGAAGAGTAAGAGATGCAATCTTACTTTGGCCACATCGCCTCTCCCCCCAGGCTGTCACAGTGCCATGCTTAGAGCCCTCCTGTGTCTACAGTTTCTCGGGTAGAAAAAAGCCCAAGGTGGACATATAGGATCCCCAGCATTAAAAGATGCTACCCAAGAGGCCCACTTAGGTCTCATGTCACAGGAATCACCAGGGGAATGGGTGGTGCTGGACCACCGGGAAACAGAGACAGAGAAGGAGGGGCAGACACAGAAGAAGGGCTTATAGCAACTAACAGGAAGATCTCAGCAAACCTGCTGGCAGTGGTGCCTGAGCCAAGGTCCCAGCCAGTGGCTCTGCTCCTTAGCAGAGCTGAGCCAGTGGCCCCATCTGACCCAGGAGGTCAATCAGGAGTTCTGCCTGGTTTGGGTCCCCAGCCAATGAACTACACCCATGCAGGAAAGTAAGACAACAGCCCTGCCCAACTGCTAAGCATAACATCCAGCCCTGCCTGACCAGAAAGCTGAAACAATGACTCCAGACAGGCTTAGAGCTCAGCCTACAGCCCCACCCAGCAACAGATCCCAGTCAATGGCCTCACCTGATTGCTGAGTACAGCCTGCAATCTTGCCCAGTCAGGTATCCCAGCCAATGATGCCACCCAATCACAGAGCATAGCCTGTGGCTCCCTTCTGACCAGGAAGTCCAGTGACCCTGCCCAACTATAGAGCACAGTCTCCCACCCCACCCAACTGCAAGATACAGCTGGAGGCCCCCCAGACCAGGGAGACCAACCAGGGACCTCACCCAACAGTGGCACACAACCTGCAGCCTGCCCAATCATAGAGCACAGCCTGCAGCCCCACCTGATTACAGAGCACAACCTGAAGCCCCATCCAGTCCCAAAGCCTTCCCTGTGATCCTGCCTGAATCAAGTGTCCAACCAATGGCACCATCTGAGAAACAGCCTGAGGACCCACTCAACCAAGAGAAATTGCAAACAGAGCCTGCAACCCCACCCAATCAGAGTCCAAGAAGTGGCTACCAATTCAATACCATGCAACAGCCTGTGACTACATCCAACCAGAGGTGACTTCAGAGCCCAACTAGTGGCCATGACTGACAATGGAACCCATCCAGAAGTCTCATTTGAACATGGAGCCCTGCTGGCACCTTCCCCACACCTCAGAGTACAGGCAGTGACATCACACAATTAAAGACCTTAATGGCAAGCCTTACCTGCCCACAGACACTACTGGCACACCTCTCCAGAGCCCCAAGCCGAGCTGACTGATGAAGGTCTTTCCCTGCTAAAGTTAACCTGTAAAGTCTGGAAGAGAGGACCAGTTCCTCAAATGCACAGAAACCAAAGCAAGGATACAAGGAAATCACAAAGAATCAGGTAAACATAACACTACCAAAGGAAACTAATAAAGCTCCAAAAACTGACCCTAAAGAAACGGAGATCTATGAATGATCTGACAAAGAATTTAGAATAATCCTCCTACAGACATTCACTAAACTACAAGAACACACAGACAACTAAATGAAATTAGGGGAAAAATACATGAACAAAAAGAGAAATTCAACAAAGAAAAATAATAATTCTAGAGATGAAGAATAGAGTGATTGCACTGAAAAACTCAATAGAAAGTTTCAACAGCAGACTTGACCAAGGAGAAGAAACAGTGAACTCAGAGAAAGTATGTGGAAGTATCCAGTCATAGGAGAAAAAATTAAAAAGAATGAAGAAAGCATACAAGATTTATATCATGAAATAATATAGGCACTATAGGAATCCCAGGAAGGAAAGAGAGAGAGGGACGGTCTATTTAAAGAAACAAATAGACTAAAAACTGGGCTGAAAAATTCCAAAAGATGGGGAGAAAATGGTGACCCAGATTTGAGACCCAAAAGTCCCCAAAAGGTTGAACATGGAAAGGGCTACGCCAATACACATTATAATTGTCAAAAGTCAAAAAGAAAGAGAATTTTTAAAGCAGCAAAATAAAGGCAATTGATTGCATACATTGAAACCCCCTTATCAGTGGATTTCACAGCAAAAATCTTTCAGGCTAGGAGAGAGTGGAATGACATATTAAAAATATTGAAAGAAAAAACTGTCAACCACGAATGCTGTACCCAGCAAAGCCGTCCTACAGAAATGAAGAGGAGATAAAAACTTTCCCAAACAAACAAAAGCTGAGAGACATCACCACCAGATCTACCTTACAAGAAATGCTAAAGGGAGTTCTTCAAGCTGAAATGAAAGGATGCTAATTAACATAAAAATAGAAATATGTAAAACTCAGCAGTACATCTAATTATATACTCAAATTCAGATTCTCTAATATAGTGATGGTGTACAAATCACTTTCAACTCTAGTTTAAAAGTTAAAAAAAAACATTAAATATGAGTACAATGATTTATTATTGGATACACAATATTAAAAAGATGTAAATTATAACATTAGTAACCTAAAATGTGAGGGAGGGAGAAGTAAAAGTGTAGAGTTTTTGTATGCTATTGAAGTTATCTTAACATAGGATGTTGTATCCATAAGATAATTTGTTTAAGCCTTATGGTAGCCACAAAGGAAAACCTGTAGTAGATATACAAATGATTAAGATAAAGGAATGAAAGCATACCACCACAAAAAGTTAACATAGCACAAACGAAAACAGCAATAGACAAACAAAGGAACACCAAAACAGTCAGAAAACATTTGACAAAATGGCAATACTAAGTCCTTCCCTACCGATAATTACTTTAAAAGTAAGTGGATTACTATGGACAGCTAATCTTCAACAAAGGAGCTGAGGGCCTACAATGGAGAAAAGAAAGTCTCTTTAACAAATGGTGCTGGGAAAACTGGACAGCCACATGTAAAAAGAATGAAAATTGACCATTCTTTTTCACCATTCACAAAAATAAACTCAAAATGGATCAAAGACCTAAAGATTAGGCCTGAAACAATAAGTCTTCTAGAAGAGAATATAGGCAGTACACTCTTTGACATCAGTTTCAAAAGAATCTTTTCAGACACTATAACTCCTCAGATGAGGGAAACAATAGAAAGAATAAACAAATGGGACTTCATCAGACTAAAGAGCTTCTTCAAGGCAAGGGAAAACAGGATTGAAACAAAAAAACAGCCCACTAATTGGGAAAAAAATATTTACAAGCTACTTATCCAACAAAGGGTTAATCTCCATAATATATAAAGAACTCACACAGCTCAACAACAAAAAATCAAACAACCCGATCAAAAAATGGGCAGAGGACATGAACAGACATTTCTCCAAAGAAGATATAAGGATGGCCAATAGACACATGAAAAGATGCTCATCATCACTAATCATCAGGGAAATGCAAATCAGAACTACACTAAGATATCATCTTACACCCATTAGATTGGCAAAAATATCCAAAACAAAAAGTGACAAATGTTGGAGAGGTTGTGGAGAAAAAGGAACCCTCATACACTGTTGGTGGGAATGCAAACTGGTGCAGCCACTATGGAAAACAGTATGGAGATTTCTCAAAAAGTTAAAAATAGAAATACCTTATGACCCAGCCATCCCACTACTGGGTATCTATCCTAAGAACCTGAAATCAGCAATTCCAAGAGTCCCATGCACCCCTATGTTCATCGCAGCATTATTTACAATAGCCAAGACGTGGAACCAACCTAAGTGCCCAGCAACTGATGATTGGATAAAGAAGATATGGTATATATACACAGTGGAATACTACTCAGCCATAAAAAAGACAAAATCGTCCCATTCGCATCAACATGGATGGACCTTGAGGGTATTATGTTAAGCGAAATAAGCCAGACAGAGAAAGATGAACTCTCTATGACTCCACTCATAGGTGGAAGTTAACATGTAGACAAGGAGAACTGATCAGTGGTTACCAGGGGAAAGTGGGGGTGGGGGGAGGGCACAAAGGGTGAAGTGGTGTACCCACAACATGACTAAAAATAATGTACAACTGAAATTTCACAAGGTTGTAAACTATCATAATCTTAATTTAAAAAGTGAAAAAAAAGTAAATGGATTAAATTCTGCAATCAAAAGAGAATGAATGGATTAAAAAAGAAAAACAAGATTGAATATGCCACCTACAAGAGACTCTTTTTAACTTTAAGGACACAGACAGGCTGAAAGTGAAGGGATGGAAAAAGATATTCCAAGCAAATGGTAAATGAAAGAGAGCTTGGGGTAGTTAAACCTATATAGAGAAAATAGACTTCAAGCTAAAAATGGTCACAAGAGGGGCTGGCCCAGTCACATAGTGGTTAAGTTCACATGCTCCTCTTTGGTGGCCCAGGGCTCACAGCTTCAGATCCTGGGCACAGACCTACACACCACTCGTCAAGCCATGCTGTGGTGGTGTCCCACATGCAAAATATAAGAAGATTGGCACAAATGTTAGCTCAGGGTGAATCTTCCTCAAGCAAAAATAGGAAGATTGGCAACAGATTTTAGCTCAGGGCCAATCTTCCTCGCCAAAATAAGAAGATTACAAGAGACAGAGAAGCTCATTATACAATGATAAAGGAGTCAATTCTTCAGGGAGAGATAACAATTAAAAATAGTCACTCAAAATTGGAGCAACTAAATATATAAATACTAACAAACTAAAAGCAGAAATAAATAGCAATACAATAATAGTAGAGGACTTTAATACCTCACTTTCAACAATGGATAGATCATCCAAACAGAAAATCAGTAAGGAAACTGGATTTGAACTACACTATACACCAAATGGGCCTTTCTGCACTACCCAGAGAGGAGTAGATATGGCATTGTTCTGAGTTCCCATCATAACTTAAAGGGAAACTTCCACAATGTTTAGAGCCCTTCATGTCCTGCAAATGAAGGAGGATGTTCTCAAGTTCCTTGAAGCAGGAACCCACTTAGGTGGCACCAATCTTGACTTCCAAATGGAACAGTTCAACTACAAAAGGAAAACTGAAGGCACTTACATCATAAATCTGAAGAGAACCTGGAAGATGTTTCTGCTGGCAGTTTGTGCCATTGTTGCCATTGAAAACCCAGCTGATGACAGTGTCACATTGTTGATGAATACTATCCAGAAAGCTGTGCTGAAGTTTGATGATGCCACTGGAGACACTCACTGCTGGCTGCTTCACTCCTGTAACCTTCACTTACCAGATCTGGGCAGCCTTCCAGGAGCCGAGACTTCTGGTACTGATCTCAGGACTGACCGCCATCCTCTCACAGAGGCATATTATGTTAACGTGCCTACCATTTTTCTTTGTTACACAGAGTCTACTCTGCACTAGGTGGACATGCCATCCTGTGCAACAGAAAAGGAGCTCACTAAGTGGGTCTGATGTGGTGGATGCTGACCTGGGAAGTTTCCCATGTGCTGGGTACAATCACCCTCTCCCCCAGAAGTGGAAAGGGGCATCTGTGACCTGAGGCTTCAGGAGCCACAGCAGTTCACGTGACCCAGGTCCCGGTAATGGCACCACCAACACCAGCCCTACTGGCAATGGGGGATGGACACAAGATCCCAGGTCCCTGGCAGCAGTGGCAACACCAAAGAACTCAGCACCTCTGGCAGTAGTGCTGTCAGCACCCTCAGATTAACCCAGGAGCAGCAGCACCTGAGCCTGTGAAGAGAGCCAGGAAACTGACAGTGGAGCCCACAACCCCAGTCCCCTGCAGTAGACGTGCCCACATCAGCCCCATATGTGGCAGTGGTGCCCGCAGAGCCAATAAACCCAGAGGTGGTGAAGGTGCGCATGACCCCAGCTCTCACCTCACCACCTCCCTCCACCATGCTGAGGTAACATGACATCCAGGTGACCCCAGAAGCAGCAAAGGTGCTTGCACCCTGATGACCCCAGTGGCAGCACCCACAACTACAGTGATATAAGCAGCAAGGCATCAACAATCTTAGAGGCAAAGGCAGCACAAGGAGGGAACTGTCAATGCCTCTGGCAGAGTCAGTGGAGGGCGAAAAATGGAGGCTCCCAAATACAACAAGAATCAGCTTAGAATCAAAGTAACCAAAGCTGCATCCAAATAAGAAAGGTGTTTACTACCACAAGTGCACTGGCAGCAGAACAACTCATCAAGCACCATGAAGAGTTGCAGTAACATGGTAGCACAAGAAGAAAATGATGGCTCTCCAGAAACCAAACTTGAAGTCACAGAAGATTGTGGTCTGATAGAGAATTCAAAATAGGTGTCATGAAGAAATTACAATAATGAGTTACAATAAAACTCAGGAAGACAGTTTACTGAGCTCAGAAATCAAATTAATGAACAGGAGGAGTACTTCACCAAAGAGGTTGAAACACAAATTCTGGAAATGAAGAATACAATTAATGAGCTGAAGAATAAAGTAGAAAGTATTGAAAATAGAGCAGGTAATATGGAAGATAGAATTAGCAAGCTTGAATATCGAACTCTAGAAATGATTCAGGTGGAATAGGACAGAGAACTAAGATTTGCTTTTTAATGTAGCAATTCTATGGGAAGTATCTGACTCAATTAGGAAAAGCAACATAAGGATAATGGGTATCTCAGAAGGAGAAGAGGGAGAAAGGAGCAGAGAGCTTATTTAGAGAAATAATAGTTGAGAACTTCCCAAACCTGGGGAAGAAACTGGATATAAAAGTACATGAAACCAATAGAACACCTAGTTGTCTCAACACAAAGAGACCTTCTCCAAAGCACATTATATTAAAACTGCCAAAAGTCAATGACAAAGACAAAATATTGAAAGTGGCCAGAAAGAAGAAAATTACTTAGAAAAAGGAACCCCCATTAAGCTATCAGCGGATTTCTCAGCAGAAACTCTATAGGCCAGGAGAGACTGGAATGATATATTCAAAATGTTGAAAGATTAAAAACTGTCAGCCAAGAATATTCTATCCAGCAAAGGTATTCTTCAGATTTGAAGGAGAAATAAATATTTTCCCAGACAAACAAAAGCTGAGGGAGTTCATTGCCACCAGACCTGCCTTACAAGAGATGTTGAAAGGAGCCCTCCTACCTGAAACAAAATAACAAAGGTATACACAGCTTTGAGCAAGGTGATAGACAGAATCAGAAAATTGCAACTCTATATCAGAATAGGTTAGAAAACAATTAATTATAAAGGCTGGAGGAAAGAAAGCATCAAAAATAACTATAACCATTTTAATTTGGTAACAAACTCACAATACAGAAAAGGATAATTTGCGACAACATAAACATAGAGGGGGAACAGGAAAAGGATGGAACCTGCATAGGCAAATGGAGATAAGATGCTATTGGCAGAAAAAGAACCATCTCATCTATGATATCTTTTATACAAACTACATGGTAACGACAAAACAAAAACTCAGAGCAGAGTCATGAAACATTAAAAATAAAAAAAAAAAAAAGAGGAAACTGAGAAACACATCACAGAAAAATCACCAAACTGAAATGGCAGACAGAAATACAAGGGAAAAGAAATTATGGAAATATAGAACAACCAGAAAACAAAAGATAAAGTGGCAGTAATAAGCCCTCATATACCAATAATCCATATGTCAAACCTTAAATGTAAGTAGTTTGAAATCACCAATCAAAAGACACAAAAGTGGATAGATGGATTGAAAAACAAGAGCCACCAATATGCTGCCTTCAGGAGACCCATCTCAGCTCTAAAGACAAACATAGGCTCAGAGTGAAGGGATAGAAGATAATACTCCAAATAGCAAGCAAAATAAAACAGGTGTTGCCATACTTAGACAAAATAGACTTAAAGCCAAAAATGATAAGAGACAAGATGGACATTATGTAATGATAAAGGGGACATTCCACCAATAAGACATAACACTTAATATGTGTACACCTAACATAGGAGCACCAAAGTATATAAAGCAAATATTAACATACCTAAAGGGAGAAATTAACAGTGACACAATAATAGTAGGGAACTTTAATACCCCACTAACATCAATGGATAGAGCATCAGACAGAGTCAACACAGAAACAATGACCTTAAATGAAACATTAGACCAGGTGGACTTAATGTATATATAACATTCCATCCAAAAGCAACAGAATACACATTCTCAAGTGCACATGGAACATTCTCAAAGATAGATCATATATTAGGAGACAAAACAAGTCTCCATAAATTTAGATTAAAATAATATCAAGCCTCTTTACAGCCACAGTGGTATGAAACTCGAAATCAACTACAGGAAGAAAGTTGCAAAAGTCACAAATATCTGGAGGCTAGATCACATGCTACTGAACAACTGTTGGATCAACAAAGAAATCAAAAGAGGAATCAAAAAATACCAGGAGACGAATGAAAATGAAAACACAAACATACCAAAACCTATGGGATGCAGCAAAAGTAGTTCTAAGAGGGAAGTATGTAGCAATACAGGACTACTTTAAAAAACAAGAAAAATATCAAATAATCTAACAATAAGAACTAGAAAAAAAGAACAAATGAAGTCCAAAGTCTGTAGAAGGAAGGAAATAAAAATCAGAGCAGGAATAAATGAAATAGAGACTAAAAAGACAATAGAAACATCAATGAAACTAAGAGCTGATTCTTTGAAAAGATAAACAAATTGACAAACCCTTGACTAGACTCACTAAGAAAAAAAAAAAGAAGGACCAAATAAAATCATAAATGAAAGAGAAAAAATTACAATGGATACCACAGAAATACAAAAGATTATAAGAGAATATTATGAAAAACTATACACCAACAAATTGGATACTTAGAAGAAATGGATAAATTCTTATAATCATACAACCTCCCAAAACTGAATCAAGAAGAAATAAAGAATCTGAATAGATGAATCACAAGTAAAGAGATTGAAAGAGTAATTAAAAACCTCCCAAAAAACAAAAATCCAGGATAAATCAGCTTCTCCGATGAATTCTTCCCTGGTGAAACCAAACATTCAAAGAAGATTTAATATCTATACTTCTCAGACTCTTCCAAAAAATTGAAGTGGACAGGATGCTTCCTAACCCATTTTATGAGATCAATATTACCCTGATGCCAAAACCAGAAAGGATAACACAAAAAAGGAAAATTACAGGCCAATATCACTGATGAACATAGATGCAAAAATCCTCAATAGAATATTGGCAAATCGAATACAATACATTAAAAGGATAATATACTATGATCATGTGAGATTTATTCCAGGGACACAAGAATGGTTCAACATCTGCAAATCAATCAATGTGATACACGACATTAACAAAATGAAGAATAAAAATCACATCAACATCTTAAGAAATGCAGAGAAAGCATTTGACAAGATTAACATCCATTTATGATAAAAACTATCAGTAAGATGCATAAGGAAAGTACACCTTAAAAATGCCATATATGACAAACACACAGCCAACATCATGCTCAATGGTGAAAACTGAAAGCTATTCCTCTAAGAACAGGAACAACACAAGGATGCTTACTCTCACCACTCTTATTCAACATAGTATTGGAAGTTTCAGAAAAAGAAGTAAAAGGGATCCAAATTGGAAAGTAAGAAGTAAAACTTTATCTACTTGCAGATAACATGATTCTGTATATAGAAAACCCTAAAGGATCCACCAAAAACCTATTAGAAATAATTATTGAATACGGTAGAATGGCAGATTACAAAGTCAACATACAAAAATTAGTCTCATTTCTATACACTAACAAACTAGCAGAAAGAGAAATCAAGAATTCAATCCCATTTACAATCACAACAAAAATAATAAAATACTTGGGAATAAATTTAACCAAGGACGTGAAAGACCTGTACACTGAAAACTATAAGACATTGTTGAAAGACTGAAGATATAAAGAAAGGACAAGATATTCCATGATCATAAATTCGAAGAATAAACATACTTAAAATGTCCAAGTTACCTAAAGCCATCTACAGATTCAATGCAATCCCAATCAGAATCCCAGTGACATTTTCACAGAAATAGGATAAAGAATCCTAAAATGTATATGGAACAACAAAAGACTCTGAATAGCCAAAGCAATCCTGAGAAAAAAGAACAAAGCTGGTGGTATCTCACTCTCTGAATTCAAAATATACTACAAATCTATAGTAATCAAAACAGCATGGTACTGGCAGAAAAGAAGATGCATAGATCAATGGAACAGAATTGAGAGTCCAGAAATAAACCCACACATCTATGGACAGCTAATTTTCCACAAAGGAGCCAAGAACATAAAATGGAGAAAGTCTCTTCAATAAATGGTGTGGGTAAAACTGGACAGCCACCTGCAAAAGAAGGAAAGCAGACTATTATCTTACACCATACACAAAAATTAACTCAAAATGGATTAAAGACTTGAATGTAAGAACTGAAACCACACAACTCCTAGAAGAAAACATAGGTAGTATACTTTTTGACAGTGGTCTTAGCAGTATCTTTTTGAATATCATGTCTCCTCAGGCAAAGGAAACAAAAGAAAAAGTAAACAAATGGGACTGCATCAAACTAAAAACCTTTTGCACGGCAAAGGAAATCATTAACAAAACAAAAAGACAACATGCTAATTGGGAGAAAATGTTTGCAAATCATATATCTAATAATGAGATCATATCCAAAATATAAAGAACTCATACAACTCAACAACAACCACAACAAAAACCAACCTGGGGCCAGCCCAGTGGCGTAGTGGTTAAGTTCGCATGCTCTGCTTTGGCAGCCCGGGGTTCATGGGTTCGAGTCTCAGGTGCAGACCTACACAGTGCTCATCAAGCCACGCTGTGGTGGTGACCCATAAACAAAATAGAGGAAGATTGGCACAGTTGTTAGCTCAGGGCCAATCTTCCTCACAGAAAACAAAAACCTAACCAAAGAATGGGCAGAGGATATGAACACAAATCTTTCCAAAGAAGATATACAGATAGCCAACAGGGACATGAAGAGATATTCAACATCTCTATTAATAGGGAAATGCAAATCAAAACTATGATGAGATATCACCACACTCTCATTAGAATGGCTATTATTAAAAAGACAAAAAAATAATGAGAGTTGGAGAGGATGTAGAGAAAAGGGAACCCTCATACACTGCTGGTGGGAATGTAAATTGGTGCATCCCTGTGGAAAACAGTGTGGAGATTCCTTAAAAATTTTTAAATAGAAATACCATATAACCCAGCTATTCCACTTTTGGGTATTTATCCAAAGAACACAAAAACACTAACTTAAAAAGATATATGCACTCCTATGTTCATTGCAGCATTATTCACAATAGCCAAGACTTGGAAGCAACCTAGGTGCCCATCAGGGACAAATGGATAAAGATGTGGTGTGTATATATACACACACACACACAAACATACACTCACACACACTGGAATAATACTCAGCCATAAAAAAGATGAAATCTTGCCATTTGTGACAACATGGGTGTACTTTGAAGGTATTATGCTAAGTGAAATGAGTCAGATAGAGGAAGACAATTACCATATGACTCTATGCATATGTGGAAGATAGACAAACACATC